TTGCCAGTGCATACACTTTTGACTGGCACTGCATTACATTTATTGTTATTTTCGTGCACTTCCTTTGTTCCTTCTTCCTTTTTTTTGGCAGCTGCAACGGGGGAGTAATGTTGGTGTAGGCAAATCAATGGAATCTTATATAATAATTCTTCTACAGAGAAGTTTAATTAGGAAAAGCAAAAAAAATGTGTAGAAAAATATGTAAGGAGTCAAATAAACTCATGTTCCTTATTTATTAAAAGAAATTGGAATATATTTTCTAAAAATATTGCAGAATAGTTATGTGACTAGTTAACTTTTTTTTCTGTCCTAAACTTTTTAAAGCCTATTTTATTTTCATTGACCCCATCCCCAACGTAGGTATACATGACCCCCTTTTTGTTTTTTTCTTAATTCCAAGTTTTCTTGTATCTTCTTTGTTTTGTTATTCTTCCGCTTCGATTATTTTGCTTTAGTCCTGGCGTCCTTGTTGTTTCGTAGCTAAATTAGCTAAATTGCTTATGGCAAACTCACGTAGCGGATGCTGCCATGCCCCCACCGCCCATAACCACCCACCCACGCCCACCCGAAAGGGGCGAGACTTTGGTAGCTTTGGAATGCAGAATGGTAACAGTAAACTCCATTTTGACTCCTGCTTCGGACTGGGGCTGGCGATTTTGAAAAGGTTTATGTAATTGTTAATCACAGAAAGTTGAACCACGATCTGCCACCCGCCCCGCTCACTTTCCCAAAAAAACACACACCTTCTCCCGCCCACTTTTCCACGTCCACGTCCACGTTCGCCTTCTCAGCTTTTGTTTTTGCATTTTTCAAAAATCGTTGTGCGATTTTTGTTTTCATGGTCCATTTGGTTTCGGCTTTCCAAAGGCTGGGATGGGATGGTTGGGCGGGAAATCTGTTGTGTTGCTAGGTTTTTCACCACACCCCAGCTCATTTCCCGGCGCCCCCCAACTGCTTTTTGTGTACGTGCAGGTGAACGCATAATTAGGAAAATTCCTTTGTTGTTCCTTCGGTTTTGGGAGCGGAGGAAAAGCGGAGGAGCGAGCCAAAAAGCGCACACTGAACAAAATTTCGATTGTCCTTTCTTTCTAACTTTCCCGGGGCGAGTGGCTATAGTTTTGCACAGAATTTCACTTTCTATTGCAGTGCACAGCGCACAAACAACTTTCGGTTGAGTGAGTCAAGATTTTTGCAGCGAAAAAATTTCATTTGCTTACACTCCCCATTGAATCAAAGCGAACATTTAATACCCGCGAAAGCGGAGAACCCCAAACTTCTTGCTCACCCGCCGCCAATAGAAACCAAAAGCATTCGTCTCACATTTCCAAGGACTTGCGTACCGGGAAAAAGTTCCAAGGGACTCACCTGAAAAACAAGAAAGAGGAAAAGAATGAGTCGAGATGGGCAGGAAAATCAATGTGTATCTTTGTGAGCTGCTGAAACGGTTAACAAGTCGTATGAGTAATTTTACGAGGAGCAAAGGGAAACTTTTTACGCCGAACCCAGAACCCAGAACCCAAAACCCAAAAAGATATGCACCCAATGTGTGCCGCTCACACAGCATTTTTATTTGCGCACGCATAAAATGCCGCTTCTAATTTACGATCTTCGACGAGAGACTTTTCCCCGGGCGGTTTTTCCACCCTGTTTATGATGAATTTTCCTTATTTTCTTTTGCTTTATTGTTATTGTTCTTTGTTTGCTGTTTGGTTGATTGCAACCCCACCCCCTCCCGCCGCCGCTCTCCACTTCTTCGACCATTTCGATTTCGGCTGCACACACCTAAATTATGCAATAAAAGCCAAGGGCAAGCGAGGAAAAACCCGGGGATAAAAGCGTACGAAAGTGGGAAAGATTTCTCCTCTAATTAAATCAACATAAAAGCATTAGATGGAGATGCGTTCCTCCAAAACAGAAACGGCAGAAACCGAAATTAATGACGTGGAAATTGCGCAAACACGCATTGAATGTTTTTCTTTTTCCAGATCCCGTGCTTTTTTTTTGGTTGCTTCTCATTAAATACGAGGAGAGGAGCAAAATATTTAATGCCTTTCTCACTAAGTAGGATTGGATTACCTCTTGTGTTCTTTTCCGAATGTTTTAGAGTCCTTGAAAGTTGTATTTTGAGTACATCTTTTTCAAGAAGGGAATTCCTAATTTTAATGTGAACGATTCATCATTTCGAAATTCCTTTTCACTTGAAAATATTTTTCTCCAGTTTTGCTTTTTCCATTTCTTTTTCATCCCTTCGCAGAAACAATCCCAAACATTTCTGTTTTCTGTTTGCACTTTGTTTAATCAATTTAATGAACCCGAAACGCAAAATTTTTCATGCCTCAATATGTCGAAAATTTGTCAATTAAGTCAACCCTTGAATCTCTGCCGAATCTCGAGCCCCTCTCACCCCTCTCGATTTCACGGAGCATATTTTCAAGGGGGGTTGGACGGGGGAGGAGGGCTTCGAGGCGAAGGGGGCTGTACGCACGCTGCATACATAAATCAATTTCAATTAACGTTAATTAAATACGCATCAAGTGGGCATGACCACAAAAGCAAAAGCAAAATCCGGGGGCAGTGGCCAAAAACCGAGAGGGGGGTGAATGACTAAAAAAGGGGGAGGATTGTTGTCAGGGGATCTGGGAAAAACAACGGAGGGTGGGCGGTTGGCTGGTGGGTAGTGGGTGGTGGGGTACATAAAAAAGGAGATTGAAGCGGGCGAATGAGAAACGCAGATTGGCAAAGAAACGGAGAAAGCTCCGAAAAGTATGCACTGCAAATTGAAAATGGAACTGCGTGAGTGGGGGGCGTCATCCGCCCACAAAGACACCCCAGTTCCATCCAACCATCACCCACCGCCCACCACCCCCTTTGCCACTCACTATTCCACGCGTCTGTTTTGCGGTTATGCGCTTGGCTTGTCACGAGCCACGAGACCAGCGCAAACTACATACAGACCCAGCAAAAAATAGGCAAAACAAAAAGTGGGAGCTTCAAAAATGATAGTAGGACTAGCAAATACCCTGGGGAGCAGGTTTTATAACCGGAAATAATACCGCAATTATTGCAAAAAAGCAGAGGGTACTATTTTTTAGCAACCTTCAGTTTCCAAGTATTTGAACAGTTTCGAAAAATAGAACAACCTTCCCTACTGGGTGTCCTACACACCGAACTCTCAAAATACGGTCAAACACACGCACAGACATAAACAAACACTCCAAATGGGAATAGCTAAAAATTCAGTTCTGAAACCGCAATGAAGCGGCTGGCCAGGGGAAAGCGGAGAGCTTTGCTCCCCGGAACCTAGGAACCCAAAAACCCGAACTCCCCGCAAGAACAACCGCAGCACATCTAACATTACACGAGTAGCAAAGTCTGTTCTCCCCCGGTTCCCCAAAGCTCCTCCACTCCCCCCCTCCTCGCCGGACAGTGCAGTTTTCCCCAGCAACAACCCCCAATTTTGGCCAGGGGCCTGCAAATGACATTGATATTTTTCTAGTTTGCCAGAGTCATCAGTTCTGGGGAATGTGGCCAGCCCCGAAAGAGTAAACATTTACATTTGAAAAGCCATGGCTTGAAGGTTGCCTCTGGATTCGGGATATTTAAAACCCATGATCGGTTTATCGGTTTTGGTTACTTTTTAAAGTGGATCAAATATTTTTAATCAATCCAGTCATGTTTTGTTATCATTACGAACTCTAGTTAACTTTAATTTGAACTCCCAAATAACTGGGTTTATATATATCAACACAAGCACCCGTCATTGGCTGTTTGTCATTATGGCAAACAGCTTTAAATTGGCAACTGGGTTCTAAAACACCACCCTACTCACTTTAGGGTGGACCGCTGTTGGGGGTAAATCATTCAAAAAAGTATGAATGTAAAATTAAATCCCCGGCGCCCCTCTGCGATGGCTGGAGATTTTTCTTTTCGGCTTTTGTATTCAGTTTCAACTTTCGTATAATTACAAAACTCATTAGTGCAGAAAGTTTTTGGTCGGGGGCCAGTTGGAAAGTATGCAATGCTAATTGAAATTGAAGTTGTTCGAGGCGGAGGTGGAGGTGGAGGAGACTGGTCCCAAAATCCCCGAAAAGTGGGATAAGCAAACAGCCCTCAGTTGTGTCGGGCGAGACTCACCAATCGAACTGCGGAGGAGTCGGGCCTATAAACACGGCTCTCTGGAGTTCCGCTCCGCTATTTATGGAGACATGCTTAGCTTGGGCCAGTGTCTGATGTTGGTTCTTTGCCTGCGGCGGCGCGACGAGGATCTGCGGTCCTTTGCCGGCCAACTGGTGGAGCAGCAGCAGTTGCCAGAGGTGAAGGATCTAGCTCCTCGCAGGAGCAGGAACCCCAGGTGCCGCTCTCATCGAAGGGCTTCCCATTCGCCTGCTCGTTTGGAAAGGGGAAGCATCTGTGCGGATGTACATCTTCGGCCGGATTCGGTGCAGGATACCATTGTACGGCGCACGAACAGGAGAAACTCTGGCGGTGCCATTGAAGTCCTCGCCACACATTCGGCTCCTGTTCCAGGACCGTCATCAGCAGAATCCACTTTGATGTGAGCGTCGTATGTCAAGCGCGTCGAATTCAATACGACACTGGTGTGAAATTTGCGTGCGGCCTCTGATTTGCATTCGCAAATTGGTAATACAATAGGTAGTCGGTGCTCGGGCTGCCGTTTTCCCCCACCAGCAGACCAACAAACCAACAGACGAACAGCCTGCTGATAATTTCGATAATATATGCACTGCTATTCCCTGGATGGAGGCTAGTGCATTTTCGAAATAACCATAAGTGACATCATTTTGCATAATACGAATAGGAGGACCCCGAAAACAATTGTTCGCAGAGGAGTTTAGTTTTCGAGAGGTTGACGCTGGTCTGGCGGGATTCCACCGAACACAACTGTACCCACACACTCCACACACTCGTCGACCAGGTGCTCGTAATTGCCGGCTATAAAAGCCAGCTGCTTTGGGCTGTACCGCCTCAGTTGGAGGCTCCCGGCGAGCAGCGGTGGGTAAATCAAAATAAATAATAGGGAATTAGCAGGTGAGACCCTAACTATCGGGTGCTTGGTAAACAGAATAATAAAGCGAAAGAAACAAGTTAACCGATGCAGGGTTCTGTGTTGTACATAATGTCTTTGTTTTACTTTCATTACAATTCTACCGATCTGACTACCGAATAACCCCAATAGGATCATGTGCCTCATCCTGTCGCTGGGCTGCTGTGGCTGCTCCTCTCCGAAGCCCTGCCACAAACAGAAACAGAAACAGAAACAAACGCAGGAGCAGATCTGCCAGCAGCAGACCAGCAACCACCACTCGGACAACATCCAACTGAACGAGACTCCGGCTCCTCCATCGCCGTCCAGCCAGGTGACCACCAGCCAGCCGTCGCTGCCCAGCATGAGTCCCAGCCTGATGGCCCTGCCCCACAGGATCGCCACGTCGAGCACCCTGAGCTCCTGGGCCGGCGAGGAGGAGCTCTACAACGTGGACGACTACGAGGATCGCACCCCCACCCGGTGGACGGCCTGGTGGCTCAAGGGAGCCTCCGTCAGCGATCAGGTGCTGGGCGGTCACTCCTCCGTGGTATCCTGAATCCGAACTTCGAACCGAATTGCTTAATTGAAATCTATTGGGATTCTCGAATTTTAAGCAAAGAATACTATAATAGCTTGTTTTACCACAATTTAATTCGGAAATGCCTTAAATGCTTCTGCGATGTTTTACTTATAAGCTTGGCTCTCTTTAAATATCCACAAAAATGGGCACTTTTTTTCCTTTTTAAACTGCCCAAGTCGCCTTCCCCCGAAGGAAACGCTCTGGCCCCTCGAAAAAAAAACGAGGAAAAGTGCAGGAATACAATCCGTTGGTCGTGTGCTCCTCTGCGAGTTGCCCCTTTGGTGCATGCATTTTTAAAATGAAATTACGCCACGTTTTGCGGGAGCCAGAGAGGTAAAGGATTCTTGCGGCTAAGACTGGGTAATACAAATTTGATTAGCTGCTTGTTTAACTTTAATTAAGTTGATTCCGCCGCACACACACACGGGAGAATTAATCAAATATTTAGAAGGCCCTTTTTCTCGTTTTCTCGTTTTCTCTGTGCAACTGCCGCAGGACATACGTATAGCTTTGCACTGGGCCCAATATTAACATTTTGGCTGAGCAAACTGGCAGGCGCAAACAAACAAACAAATGCCGGAATATTTATGATGATCATTAACACACAGGATACACAGGACGCACGGCATTAGTTCACAGGATGCGCCATCCTCCGGGAGCAGCCTTTGACGCCTGCGAACAAATTTGCACAGCCTGGAAGGTTCCAACGGTTTTCCAACGGGAGCTTAAGGACCTTAAGGATCTATCTGCAGGCTCCATTATGTCCCTGCCAAAGTGCTCCGACCTAAGCCATTATGGGCAACTTTGCCGAGATGACATTAAAATAAAAATCGAGAGCGTGTTAAATGATTTACAAAAGGGGTGGCGCGGTGGGGAAAACAATTTGGTGGCACTTTCAGTTTATGTCCTCTCAGCTCCTTGGCTTTTTCGAAAGCCATTTTTGTATTTTATGGTTTTTATGACTTTTCAATAAGTTTTTTCCCCAAGTCGAGATCCCATAACCCCGAGAGAACTTTTCTTCTCGAGCCATTAAAGTTGCCAAGTTTGATATCGACAAGATGTTGTATTGAAACGAGCACTCTCGATAACCCGCAAAACTAATGTTAATAGATAAAATATAAGCAGCTTTAAATTTGAACTTTTACCTTAAAGAGTAATTTCACAATTAGCAGCGAGTCGCCGGTATTCAATAACGATTTCCCCGGAAGCGATTGAAATTGCGGTTGGGTACGGATTGAACTTAGTTTCGGTGTCGTTTGGGGGGCTTTGGGATTGGCTTCCGAGTTCCGACTAATCGTTGACCATTAGACGCCAATGGCACTTTTATGCCACTTTAATAAACTTGGCAAGCTAACAAGTGTACGAAGAAGCGGGGGGAGCCACTTGTGCCGCAAAACTTTTCGCACGTTGCGACAAATGTCTTGAGCTGGAATCCTCCCCGGAGGATTTTATATGCCACAAGTTTATGTTTTTGGGGGGAAAAGGCAAGGGGTGACATGCATGGATACATGGATACATGGATACAGATATCAATAATCATTCTCCCCGACCGCAAAACTCTGAGAAGAGTTGTAATAACATAAGCAAGTGAAATGCATAAATAAACATTTGTGGGCAATGGAAGTTTTCCACCCTCCCGCAAACTATTCCATTTGTAAATTGATACAAATCGTTCAATAATCACGCAATTGCATTTTATTTCTTTCAAGGAAAAGCTATAGCAAGAGCGGCCAGCCAACTTTCCGGCACGTGTAGGATAGGTTGATGTTCTTGCAATGTGAGTAAGCTGGGGATGCTGCAAGGACATTCGTTCTGAACTATTGGATATCAGACAACGTAAATACCATTAAAAGCAGTTCGAACTTAAGCAAACTAAGATACACAGGAGAATATCGAGAGGAGTTAGAAGATCTCAGAATTTATTTTGTTAAGTTCTATTCAACGCGAGAATTGATCTTCTTCAAGGATGAGACGCTGTTCCGACAAAGCAGTTACTGTATCGAGCGCGATAATTCGGAATTCTGCCACGCCCACCACAAGCAGCGCCCTCGCAAGAACTCCTCCCACTTACAGAGTGTTATTTATCATGTGGCAAATGTTGTAATGCATTTTGTAATCGATACAAAGCAATCACAACGAATTGAAGCCAAAGCCGGGAGGGAAGCGTTGGGGGGGCAGGGACGTAGGCAAGGGGGTGAACCGTGCAAGGCACGTGACCAATCAAATGGGCGTGGCAGAGACGCACTGAAAAGGGGATCAAGCGGGGATGAAGGGGGATTGCGATTGTGTGTGTGCGTCCTAGAACGAACGTTGCTAAATTAATGGAGCGCAGAAAACTGAGGGGGTGAAGTTGAGCTGTAGTGACAGTGCCACGTATACGTATGCTTTACCCTGCCCCTCCTTTGCAATCATTAAATAACTCAAACCCAATTTGCTTGGCTTACAGAACTGAAATGAGCAATTCAAGAATAAAACCTATTTACTGACCACTCTGCAAATTGTTTATGGCAGTTTCTTAGATCAATAGAACTCCAAAAACGATAGAAAAAATCAAAACAACTGGCATGGTTAACTTTTCTAATAAAGTACTGTTTTCTCTTTATTTTACTTTTAAAGTTTTTAATGGGTCTAAATCCAATGCTTCAACGTCTGAAATTTATATACCGTTTATAGCTTTTTTAAGTGAGAGTAAATGGCGTTACTGTGCATGTTTTTTGACTGATAAGAGTGACAGAAACCTACATTTACAAACAGCAAACCATTTGCAATCCCCTCTGGCAAGGAAATTTCGCTAGCTCAGCATCCTTGTTGTGGGAAAGTGTGTGTGAGCAACCCGTATATACGTACGGCTGACAACGATTTAAATGTTTTCCGCTGAGCATTCGCTTTTCCACTTCTCCCCCTGTATTACCAGCTTTTGTCCCCGTCGCGACTAATCGGAGAAATCATAAATAATGCATAGGAAGCAAGTGAAACCCTTTGAAAATTGGATCGTTCCCAGGTATAATGGCACTTTTATGACTTCGTCCCTTTGCTCAACTTTTGCAACCCCTTCTCGGGCGTCATTAATTTGTAAGCTTAGAAAGTTTGCGCGAGGCGGGAAGTCAAAAAATGGGAAACGGATGGAAACCGAGGGGATAAGACGCCAAATCGAATCAGAAAACTTTAATGACTTTATGCGCCAAACTTGTTACGCAACTTGACCCCATATTTCCGCCTTTCCATTGGACGAAAAGGAGGAAAAGTTTTGCTGCAATTGCAACACGTTACTGAACAGAATTCAATTAATTAGCTGCCAATAGCTGAAGCTGTTGTTGTTTCACTAGCTGCACTCTTACTCCTTAGAATTTCTCCTTCCCCTTCCACTTTCCCGCATCTGCATCTCCATCATCAAGCTTTTCTTCATTTTCCCCCGTCACCATCATCGTTATTTTTTTTCAGCTGTGTCTAAATATTTGATGGAAAGACAAATGCTGGGTGCTGGTTCTGCTGTTTTTCCCACCTTTCTCCACTCAGCTGACCAAGCAGAGCTCTCTTTTTACTGATTTCTCCACGTCTCTCTCAACTGTTCACCGAGGTTTTATTTTCGTGCACTGCTTCATCAATTTATTAATTGCATTTGCTAATTGATTTGACACACACAAAGGAATCGGGTGCATCAGAAAAAAATATAAAATATAGAGTACGTTAGTTACAAGGAATGGAAAGTACGACTGTTGTTAATTGATTGATTCTAAACCAATTGTACGCAAAAAAAATAATATAATTCACAGGGGAAAAGATACCTCACTGGTATCCAAAACATAAAGGAATTTTAAGTTTTAGGTTGGGTCACTTTAAGTCTCCCATCTACTGGTATTCAGCTTTCAGAGCCAGAGAACCAACTCCGCACAACCAAGCCCTCGACAATCGAGACAAAGTATTTACTGGTGAACCCAGTTCCAAATCTGCCCCAAAGCCAATGAATCCATTGGCAACTAGGACCACTCGCATGCAAATCTGGAGCAGCTTTGTCCGACCTCCTCAACCTCCTCATCGGCACAACACAACACAACACAACACAACACTCCTGCTTAGGTCGACCTCCACTGGGTCATGCATAAATCATGGGAGAAGGAGTTAAACAGAAGGCTGGGGGCCATCGTCAAGGGTTGAGAAAGTGGCAAACTTTCGCTTTTGTTTAGGCTTCTCGTCTTTGACTTTCGGTTGAGATTTGGAATCGATAGCCTGGCTTGTTGTTTAGGCCACCACAGCGTCCGATTTCTGGAGATAAGCGAGGGGCGGACGAAACGTTTTGCACGCCACAAAAGCCTGCTTAGCTTATTTATTATTTACACGAAACGTGAAACGTGTATGTATAAAAAAAAATAAAAAAAAAACCAGAAAAGTCGAAAAGGGCAAGAGGAAAAGTCTTCCAAGGAAAAGCGAGAAAATCTCCAAGTATATATGTGTGTGTGTGTGTGTGCGTGTGTGGAGCTGGTATTTTATGGTTGATTTGATTGCTTTATGCACCCAGTGAGTGGCCGCATGAATTTCAAATGAGTTGTTTGCCGCCTTGCCCCGTTTACTCTTCGTCGTTTCGTTGTTTTTTCTTATCTCTTTTGTATTGTATTGTTTCTATGTAACTATGCACACTATTTGGCACTGCCAGAGCTCCAGAAATAAGTTTCTGTTAAAGAATATTTAAAAATCGACAAATCCACCCGCAAACCAGCTCGCCAACCCCAACGGAATTCTATAATTTTCTAATGCTTTTGACTAATGCCGCTGGCAAAAGCCAAGTCAAGTAAAACGTCGACTCTGAAGCTTTCGAAATGTTGAGACACGACCGCAGAGCAGTCATTATCCTGGACGAAATGCGGATGGGAACCGAGGGGCAGCAGCAGCACCTTGCGGTATGTTGCTGCCACATAACGTGTTGCACACGTTCCAACAAAGAGCCAGGGGGTTGCAGGTATGGAGGTATGAGTATGGGTAAGCTGGGTCAGTATTCCCGTGTACGTATATGTGGGGTTTTCCCACAGTAATTTGAAATTCATGCGCTTCGTATGTGGAATAAATTCAAGATTTTGATTTGCTGCTACGTGCG